TCGCCTTATTGAGCGCTCTTCCACCGTAAACACCTCAAATTTACACAATATATATCTGTGTGTGTGTGTGTGTGTGTGTTATATCACAGTTGGCATCCATATTATTATTTATTTGGATCTGTCAGATGGATAGCGTTCATTTCCTTCCCGGAAGTAACGTTCAGTATTCGAACTGGAATTAGCTCGTCCCCCTACGTGTTGGCCCCATGAATTACTTTGGCCTATAATTAGCACTTCGGTAAAGTCTCTAGGATCGGTAATTTATTCCTTTATGTCACTTGGCAACGGCTCGCAACAGATGACAATATTCAGCACCCCAACCTAGACTTTACTGCTACAGCTCAGCATGCTGTATTCTCGATTTCCCGTACTAAAGTGAGATGGCTGGAAAATAATTTAAATCGTCGGCATAAAATGGACACTTCAAAGGGCAGAGAAAAGAAAAAGCGATCAACCGTGTATATAACTTGATGGGGTTCTCGCATAGCGCCAAGCGTTATGAAAAGAGTTGATGGATTTTTGCGCGTGGTGAGAAAACTGCTAGTTTTTCTTCTTTCTTTTTTTTTTAATCATTTCACCCCACGCAAAGCTATAACACCACTAAGATACAAGGCGTTACTGGGGATGAAATAGAATAAGAAAGCTTTAGCGAGGGGAAATGACAATAAAAAAAAATTACAGCATATCGGAAAGCAGAAGATGGTGACTGACGTTGTATTTACCTTTTCCAAGCTCATAAGGGAAGCAAGAAACCGGATGTGAATTACACAGGCGTGGATTACGAGAAAAGAAACTACTAGAATAAATATAGCGGTGACATCTATTACAACAGTAAAACGATAAGCCTTAGTTGTCAATCTAATAAAAACGCTTAAATCCATGCGGTCATTAGAAAAATTACCGTGAAAATATTTATAGAAAAGCCAGAGGGAGGCCATGTTGTGACGGTTGGTGAGTGACTGAAGTCAAGATGTCAGGTCTGGACCGATTACATCACAGACCCTTCTTTGGATTTTGTTGAGAATCTCGAGATATATAGCAGGAGCATCAGACTAAGATAGATAGATAGATAGATAGATAGATAGATAGATAGATAAGGAATAGACTGTGAAAGATAAGTAGAGAGACACACAAATAAGGAACAAACTGAGATAGATAGATGGATAAATAGATGTGTCCATTCGTCTATGAGGCGTAGTGATTAAGATGTGATAGATAATACACAAACTGAAATAGATAGATAGATAGATAGATAGATGAAAAATACAAACAGACATATAGACAAATATAGAAAGACGAGAAAGGATAAGCAGGATAGATAGATAGATAGATAGATAGATAGATAGATAAACACACAAATAAGGAACAAACTGTGATAGATGAATTAAGTAGATAAGTATCCAGCTGTCCATGAGGCGTAGTGATTGATTAAAATGTGATAGATAATAAACTTATATATATATATATATATATATATATATATATATATATATATATATAGATAGATAGATAGATAGATAGATAATGAACAGATGAGGGCAACATTCAAAGCAAGGAGGAATGGTAGATTTATAAATATGCTTGATGGATTTCTGATGAGTATTGGCTGGCATGGAACAGTGAACTAAATTTCCAAGCAGTAATCATAAATAATTTTTCTTCATGTCAGGATATAACGTGAGCCCAGGAAGGCTCAAATAAATACTATCCGCGAGATTAACATTAGTTATATTCAGGAATGGCAGAAAAGATTTTCTATAGTAATTAAATGATAGCAGTTTTGTTTTAGATGCGTTGAAATTTAAAAGCCATTCCTTGCCTCAGTTAACAACTGACTGGGGATCATTTTCAAGAGTAGCTGCCAGTTTTACATTGTCAGATATAAAGCACTTAATACCAAAAAAGGAGTAAGCAGTTGGATCATCAGCATAAATGCCTAGTTATCTGATATCGTCGGCAATGTCGTTGTTGAAGGCCAAAGAATATTCTAATGAACGCATATGTAATTCTGTCTGAACGCTGTTTTGGGAATATAATCCAATATTCTGAAGCTAGGAGATTTGAAGAAAAATAATAGTCACTTTCCCTGTACGGAAATTCTTCATGATAAAATAATGAGAGTCACTGTCAGAAGCCATACATCTCCATTTAAATGCTTAACACATTGCATTGTTTCACGGGAATGACATGCAACCAACTTCAGGAAAAGTAGAAAGTAGGTATTATTTTGTAAAAAAAAAACAAAAAACAAAAAAACACTTAAAGACATTAAGCAAGGGAGTTAAATTATACATATTTGCGAAATTGATGACATTTACTGATTGGAAACGCCCAAACTTGTGGCATGACATATTGACTATGAAGTCTTTCTGCTGTATTGAGATTTTTATAAGCAAAAATAATATCTGGCTTAAGGACATATAATGTTGAAAAGTGTTGCAATGGAATGTCCCACACTCCCTATCACCTATGTAAGCTGACTATATCAGTAGCTGTATATATATATATATATATATATATATATATATATATATATATATATATAGTGAGCACAGGATATACCTGGGGGGGTATTTGGGGAATTAGTTAGAGATTCGTCTCCAGCCGTGCTGTTCGAACTCGGTGCCTTCGGGAGGGAGGAACCCAGACGAGGCTATGCCAAAGTGCAGGGTCTCGTCTGGGCTGATAGACAGCTACCCGATCCCGTTTTTTATGGGGTCAACGACGAAATTTTGCCTTAGTCTACGGACTGGTTTTGCCTCGCATTAAAATGGCCTTATGCCACATCCTGCCTCGCGGGATGGTTAGGTAAATAACTTTCCTTCGGGAATTAGTTGGAGATTCGTCTGCAGCTGTGCTGGTCAAACTCTCTGCCTCCAGACTATGTCGAAGGGAAAACAGCTATGCGACCCCGTTTTATAGGGGAAATTTTTGGCCGAGCCTACGGGCTCGTATACCCTACGTTAAATTCGGCTTTGTGCCGCATCTGACGGCGTGGGGTAGTTGGTAGATATCCTTGCTTCGGGAATTACTAGCCTACCACCCGATTCCCTGTCTTTCCGTAGTGTATTCTCTATCACAATAAAACTCTCTTCTTTCATCTATGTGCGTGTTGCAGTTCCTTCACTCGTGTACCAGCTTTGTTTGTTTATAACCTCTTTTAGGATACAACAAAAAGTACAATCACCAAAGTTAAGCAACGTCGAACCTGGTCTGTATCTTGATGGGTGACCGCTTGTGAATACTAGGCTCTTTAACCTTGGATGTGTGGTTAGTGTAATGGATAACGACTTGGAATTGTTAATCAGAGAGCGGAGTTCGAGTTCCAGTTGGGTTCGCTATATTCACTTATGCGTAAATAACTTTCGGAAAGTTATGAAACCAACACTTCTCCCCCAGGTATGGGTTAAGAATTGTGTCACTAAATCATTATTGCCGTCCAAAAATATTTCTGGTTTCCAATAACCTGAAAAGTGTTGATAAACCGTAGAAAACGATATCAGTCAAGAAAAAAGAGGAAATACCAATAAATTTTGATCGTTTAATACCCTGTTTAATATTTTCACGTGAACGACATGCAGTTGTTTTCATGAACAATCAAACGTATGTTATATTGTAGAAAGACGCTTAAAATTTCAAGAGCATGTAAATAAGAGGTAAATAATATACAGAGTCTCCAGTAAGTCTCTTTACTATTTAAAAAATATATAATACAAAGGCAATCGATTAGATAGCTTAATCAGATTTATTGTATGTACTCAGTAGCTAACAAAGTTTTTAGTCACATTGCATTTGTGCATTTCAGGTATCCTGTTAATGAAAGTGATTCTGTTAAAAGAAACCCTTAATATTTCCTGATCAGTGGATTAGAAGGCATGGCCCAAATCCCTGGACAACTCGTTCACCAGATATCACTAACCTGGACTTCTTTCTATAGGGCTATGGTAAAAATATAGTGTATGGAACAAATATACAGGACATCAATCTAAATCAAAAATCGTTGATGAGATTATAATCTAGCGAATATGGCAACAAATCGAGTATCGTCTTGATTAGCTTCGTACTACTAATGGTGCCCATATTTTTTTTAAGCATTTCGCCCCTAGCAAGGCGGGAAGCCACTATCACGCAAGGGGTTATAGATCATTTGGAGCGAGAGCAGATAGGAGTGATAGAGGAAAGGATGAGGAGAAGGATAGTTGATAGATCAAGGCAACTGGAGATGTCGATTGACATTACATTTGAATAGTTGGAGATTATAGCTTTCAGGGAAACAAGAAATGGGGAGAGAGTTCCACAGGCGAGAGGTGCGAGATATGAAGCTATTGGAGTAGAAGAGGCGGCTACATTTAACAGTTTCAACAGTGAAAGTGTGAGAGCCAGATGCCAGCCTCGTAGGACGCTTGAATTCGCAAAGTCTGGGAACCAGCGAAAGCAGCTCATCGGAGCAATTACCATGAAGGTATTTGTAAAAAAGACAGAGAGAGGCGACGGTGATTCTGTGAGAGAGCGACTGCAGACGGGGTGTATTAACATAATTCAAAAACCAAAATATCTACTCCTCATTTTTTATCAATTTTTACTTATTTTTATGTTCATTTGCATTTGCAATATTTTTTTTTAAATTGTAAAGAGAATTTATGGACATCCTGCATATTTGTAAAACTAATGCCAGTTTCAGTTTGGAACAACTCATTTTTGCATGTTGAAAATTTGGGTAAGAAATCTTGTATCTTAATTTTCCATATGGCAATGTTATACACGGTTTCAATCAATCTCCAACGCTAGAGATTCAATTGGTATAAAGCAAAAGTACAATGGCCAGAACATGTTCATATAATTAAACCGGGCGCCAACTAATGATCATATGTGCGGTCTAATGAATAACACGAGACTTGGCAATCTTATATTTAACATTATATTTTAATTAATTCCAATACATCTTTCGTTACTCAATGAGAGGTTGCACAGTTTCAAGACATGTCGCTAATGGTGGATCAATGGAATTCGTGAGCTGGGAAAATCGGACCCGCATTTTCCAGGGCCTCCGAAAGCGCACAAGACACCAAGCTGCAGGGCTTTGCTGTTACCTTTACCGTATCTCCGGACGGTCCTTTACGAAGAAAGAATTTTTTTTCGATTCTCTCGGCAACGTCTCCGGTTTCGCTTGCATCACTACGATTTCACTCGAGAAACCTGATATGAATTCTAGTTTTCCCACAGTAAAGGTTAAACAAATACGACGAGAAGACACACCCCTGTCTTTGTGGGGTACTAGTCTATGATGCGTTCCCACTGAAATATATATTTTCGTTCTCTGATGTCTGGTGAGATTCTGCCCAAATCCCCCACCGGAGTGATTGTTTACATATCTCTTTGTTCAACTGTTTTACGAAACCATATCTCAGGCCCCCAAATGTTCACCTCTGAGCTCAACACTGTCAACGGTGGAAATCTCTAACCGTGACTGATATTACGTTAGTGTCAATCTTGTATCTGACTTTTCATGTTTTTGTGTGAAAATGCGTGCAAATTTTATTTCGTCCAAATACAATATGAGTAAGTAGGTGATTTCCAGGAGAATAGCAACTGCAAGGAGACTGTTGCTAACAAGTTCCTTTTTCTTTTCTTTTTTTTTCTTCTTCGTCATATTTGTCTTGATCTTGTTCTTGTTCTTCTTAGAAGAAGAAGAAGAAGAAGAAGAAAATAATGAAATAATCATGATGTCGATATTCTACACTACATATAAAAGGTTAGAAAGGAAACCTCCACCAATACTGGAAAGAGCGATAACAGCTACTTGACTTGAGAAGAGTTAATAATTACATAATGAAAATGTTGACCTTCCACACTACTTCAAGCAAATGATTAGGAAGGAAATCCCATTAATATTTGGAAAGAGGGATAACAACTACTCGATTTGAGAAAACTATTTTTTCTAAAAAAATGTTTTAAGAAAAAATATTTGATCAATTTCAAACTGACTGTTTCCTTATAAAGAAACGGCTTATTTTACCATTACCATTTTATCTTGATTTTACTTCTTTGAATGTGTAAAGCCTTTGACATTTTGTGCAAGCGTGTTAACAAAGTAGATTAATATATTGAGGATATGCTGTTAGGTCTTTAGATTTTTTGTTTTTTATCGTGTGATCTTCTCCAAATTGACAAAGCAAGAAAAAAAAAAGATCGAAAATACTTATTCGTGTTAGACTCACTAATTCTATTTTTTCAGAGGGTATGTGAAAATCATTGATGATAATTTTATTTTCTTCGCTAATCTATTATCAAAAGAATCTTTTCCAAAAGGATTTGTACGGTACGAAGTGATTATGTCTGACCCTCTGCAAGAACGGGTTTATTCTTGAAGGCACGGTGTAAATATACGAACCAAAAAAGAAGTGGATTCATTGTCTGTTAAAAAAATAAAAAAAGTTATAAAAAAAAGGAATAGGTAAATAATTAGCCGGACCGTTTTGAAGCCTTAATAATATAATTCCCCTATCGAAGTAGATCATTATCTGCCTTTTAGAAATCAATAAGAAAAACAAGAAAAAAGAAAACATAGCGAAATCGATGAAGAAAAAGAACAAAATATAGAAACGGTTGAATGGGGCATCGTTGTTAAATGTATTATTTGCAGCTAATGCACGGACGTAAGTCCCATCAATGCCAATAGGAAAACAAAGCGGTTGCAAACTTCTTATAAAAGAGTTAAGATGAGGAATATATTAATCTATGTTCACAGAACTTGCCAAATTTTTAAAGCCAACAGATACCGGATGAAAATGATGATTAGTGACTGCGGTCAAAATGTTGAACGTAATAACGTGAATTTCACAGCGAACAATAATTATTTTCTACCCTACAACCCATTTCCCCATAGACAAAACGTCGGAATTCTCTCGCTAATCTATCCCTATTTCCAGGGAAAATCTTCAAATGAACTATATTCCTTGGTTCCACCAGTTCTTACCCTCACAGTTAAACTATCTATACTGCTCACCTTGAAGTTCACAGTCATTGGTGAGATTTAAGTTCCAATCGAGCAACTTCATCCTAAGAACTGCTGCTTTGTTGAACCGACTCCTGTGTGGATGCATTCCCGATCACTAGAAACTTGACCTGTTCATGTCTAGAATCAACAGCTCGTTTTATTTCCAACATATCCCCATATACTAGCTTCTTACACTGTAACTTTCTACATCGAGTGGCTCTTAGGCCTTGTACAGGTTGAACAACACTGTAAAAATGTAGACTCCCAATGAAAATTAATGGGTTTAACGGTGTAATTTATTTATTGCTAACATGAATATAGATATGAACAAAATTGAATTGTGTCAACGGACACTTTTTAACAGATCAAAATCTTACATAACTGTCTACAGAATCAGGCTAAGTGAATAGAATATGGCAGCTTATTCGCGTGAGATGAGTTTCAAAACCTCAGTAGATATACGAAGCCACGAATTATATATTCCATTGTTACCATAGACTTTG